CAAATCTTTTATAGGAATGATACATATCATTAAAGTTAATATTATTTATTTAATTTGGTATTCGAATTACATGGAATTTAACTTGGCGCCAATTATTGATATCAAATCTTTTATACGAATGATACATATCATTAGAGTTAAATAAATCAAGAAAAAAATTAAATTTACTATTATTTTTTCTTTAGGAGGAATAAAATGGTAAAATTTAACTTGGCGCCAGTTGTTGATATCAAATCTTTTATACAAATGATACATATTATTAGTTCTACTAAACAGCAAACGTGATTAGTCATCAGTTTCACGGCCGATTAAGTAATTGGCGTTGGTGAAACTGGCCCAAATAGTGATTCTTTACGAGAAGCACACACGCTTAGCGCTTTTTTTACCTTTTTTTAAAAAGGTAAGTTTGTATACGATCATATATACAAAGGATATATCATCATAAAATTTACCCACCGCCACCCCCATCGTTTTATAATTGTGATATAAAATAGAACTTAACTTAGAATCAATTGTTATGTATGTATATACAAGGTATCCTAAAAAGGTCCGGAGAGCTGAATATCTCGGAAAATATAAGTTTTATAGAAAATTATTTCAGACAAAAGTTGTGGGGTTTACAAAGATCTATTTACTGATCTTATCGGTTTAACCTTAGGTGGTGTCGCCAAGGTCAGATCAAGGTCGCATCGAGGTCACATCGATTTTTTTTATCGGAACATTCTACTTTTGATTTTAGAATCTAATAGCTGGTGTTGAGAGCTTTTCAAAACACTGCAATAAAGTTAGTTTTTATAAAGTACTTGTCGAGTTATAAGGCTTGAAAGTTACAGTACCGCCAGCATTAGCATTACGCAAGGTATCCGACCGACGGCTAAAATCTTTTAAATGTTGTTCAGGATCATGTAACACAAAATAACATTTGTCAAGACCAAGGCCATTGGAGATTATTCCTCTTATTATGTGGTTGAAGTTTGGAGCGATCCTGGAGCGAAAATTAAAAATTAAATCTTATTTTCATTTTTTTATATAAAAATGAATTCTTATTGTTAGTGCAAAAAGGTCAAACTAATAAGATCAGTAAATAGATCTTTTTGGACTCTACAACTTTTGTCTGAAACATTTTTCTGTAAAACTTATATTTTCCGAGATATTCATGTGTCCCGACCTTTTTGGTACACCCTATATACATATATAAATTTTTATACATTTTAGCAGAACCGTTCTTTCTGTGCATAGTCATTGTATTCAATATATTGTTAATTTTGTTGAAACAGTGGGATTAAATTATTTTAACTTAAAAAATACATTAAATTTGACTAAAAAAATTTAAAATTATTGGCACGCAATCATATCTGAAATAAATTAATTTAATAAGGAATATATATTGTATTATTTGAAACATGTAACTTTAACTATGATAGCGTTTTCTTTCGTATTTAATGTGTATTCATATGTACGGTCATTTCTTAAGCCTTAATAATGTTTATAC